CCCTACCATCAGCTTGTTAACCAGTGGTTTCCTCTTCTAAGAGCTGCATGTTCTTGTTAAGACCTGTGCTTCTTAGTTGTGCCTTCCTTAAGCCTTAGTAATTACGAAGTCTTTTTTTTTTTTTTTTAAGATTTATTCTTTTTACTGGAATGGCAGATTTAATGGAGAGAAGAAGAAACAAAGAGGAAGATTTTTCCATCTGCTTGTTCACTCCCCAAATGACCACAATGGCTGAAGCTGAACTGAGCCAAAGCCAGGAGCCAGGAGCTTCTTCCAGGTCTCCCACGTGTGTAGGTGTGAAGTCCCAAGGCCTTGGGCCATTCTCCACTGCTTCCCCAAGCCACCATCAAGAAGCTGGATGGGAAGTGGAGTAGCTGGCACACAAACCAGCACCTATGTAGGATCCTGGTGTGTGCAAGGTATGGATTTAGCCATTAGGCTATCAGTCCAGGCCCCCTCTACATTAAAAATTTTTTATTTTTATTTTTAGTTATTTGAAAGGCAGAGCTAGCACGAGAGCTCTTCATCTGCTGGCTTACCCCCCAAATGGCCACAATGACCATGCTGGACCTGACCAAAGCCAGGAGTCAGGAGCTTCTCCCAGATTTCTCATGGTGGTACAGGGGCCCAATGATTTGATCCATTCTCTGCTGCTTTCCAAGGTGCATTAGCAGAGAGCTGGATTGAAAGTGGAGCAGGGCCAGGTGCGATAGCGTAGTGGTTAACATCCTCTATCCCATATGCTCGCTAATTCTAATCCTGGCGGGCCTGCTTCCCATCCAGCTCCCTGCTTGTGGCCTGAGAAAGCAGTGGAAGACCCAAGGCTTTGGGACCCTGCAACCACATGGGAGACCCGAAAGAGCTCCTGGCTTCAGATCAGCGCAGCATCAGCCATTGCAGTCACTTGCGGAGTGAACCATCGGACAAAGATCTTCCTCTCTGTCTCTCCTCCTCTCTGTATATCTGACTTTCCAATAAAAATAAATAAATCTTAAAAAAAAAAAAGAAAGACTCAAAAGGGACTCAAACTGGCACCTACCAGCTATGCCACAACAGTGAACCCCCCAAATAAATCTTTTTAAGAAATAGTTTTTAGGCAAGGAGCATGAAATTAATTTTATAAGACACATATGTTTACATGTAAAGTCATTAAAGCAACTAAATTTAAAAAGTAAGTGCAAACACTTATTAAGAATACAGAGGAAATTGGGGTTGACATTGTGGCTTAGTGGCTAAAGTAGCCACCTGCAGTACTGACATTACATATAGGCAGCAGTGCACATCTTGGCTGTTCCACTTTTGATTCAGATCAGTATCAATGGACTAGGAAAGTAACAAAAAATGGCCTCATCGCTTGGACCCCTGGGCGCACAGGGGATATTTGGAAGAAGCTCCCAGTTTTAAATCGACCCAGCCATGATTACTGTAGACATGTGGGTGGTGAACTTCTTGGGATGAAAGACTTTTGCACTCAATCTGTGGCTCTGCCTTTCAAATAAACAATAATCTTTTAAAATATTTCTTTAAAGTAGAGGAAATAAACTTGCAAAATCAGAATAGTACTAAAAGAAGCTGGATGTCCTTTTGATTATTTAAAAAAAAATATTTATTTGGGTCTGGCACAATGGCCCAGCAGCTAAATCTTCACCTTGCATGCACCAGGATCGCATGTGGGCAACGGTTCGAGTCCAGCCTGCTCCACTTCTCATCTAGCTCCCTGCTTGTGGCCTGGCAAAGCAGTAGAGGACAGCCCAAAGCCTTGGGACTTTACACCTATGTGGGAGACTCAAAAGAGGCTCCTGGCTCCTAGTTTTGGATCCTCTCAACCCTGGCTCTTGCAGCCACTGGGGGAGTGAATCAGTAGACAGATCTTTGTCTCTGCTTCTCTCTGTAAATCTGTCTTTCCAATAAAAATAAATAACTCTTTACAAAAAAAAAGAAAAAGAAAGAAAGAAAGAAAGAAAGAAAGAAAGAAAGAAAGAAAGAAAGAAAGAAAGAAAGAAAGAAAGAAAGAAAGAGATTCACAGAGAGAAGGAGAGGCAAAGCTGGTTCACTCCCTTAATGGCCATAATTGCTGGAGCTAAGCCAATCCGGAGCCAGAAACCAGGAATTTTGTCTAGGTCTCCCACGTGGGTATGAAAGCCCAAGGATTTGAAGCATCCTCTACTGCTGTCTCACTCCACAATCAGGGAGCTGGATTGGAAGTGGAACAGCTGAGCCATGGTAGCTTGTTATGTCATGGCATTGCCCTTCTCCTCCCAACCCGCACTTTGATGGTCTTAACTTTTTTTTTTTTAATATATAACTTTACTGAGATCCAGACCTGATGAAAAATCAGACTCAGCTAGGCCGCAGCACCCACCAGCATGTGCATGCCAAAGCCAAGGCTTGGGGCAGGCTTTGTAGTGATTCTTTTACTGTCAACCCAACCAAGTTGCAGCATCATAGTTAGCCCAAGAGCTCGGTCTGGGTGCAAGCAATGAGCTGGCCAGGCCACTACAACATGTCAGCTCACATGAGAACAAGGACTGAGGATCTCCTGGGTGGGCATTCTTAGCGGTGCTCCCCAACTAAATCCCTGATCTGTAGGAAAATCACACGGCTGTGTGGCCTGACCCTGCAGCATATGTTGCAGGACTGGATCACCTCAATTACTGACTCTAGTGCAAGGACAGAGAATATACCCAGATGCACCCCAAAGATAAGACTCACGTAAGCCAACAAAGGACTCCAAGTGCCTCTTCAAAGGATGGAGAAAAAGGCAGGGTGGTCAACCCTCCAGATCAGGCCTTTGGACACACAGAGGTAGACAGGCACAGCCAACAAGCCTTAGACAGAGCTTCTCGGAGCAATCAAGACCACTCAAGTGACACCTTCGGGACATTGTTAGAGACCCATCAAAGGACCGTCTGGGTCCCTGGTGCTGAGGGGCTTCCAATTAGGAAGCGGAGGGTTGGCGAGGTGGGGCGAGGGTGGGTGTTGTCTCCTTCCTAATCGAAAGCCCCACACGGGTCTGCCACACCTTTGTCTTTGTAATAAGTACTAAAATAGATCAATTTTTTTAAAATGTAACTTCAGACAAGGCCCAGTCTTTTATCTTTTCACCAACCAAACTCTCTATCGCCCTCTTCTGTTCCGATGCTCTCATTTCAATGCAGTTCAACTGCAAATATGATTAAGGGAAAAGTATTATTAACTGTGGGCAGTGCCTGAGTTTAGTTACCTACATTGTTCTCATGGATCCTGCTCTAGTCTTGACTGAGGGATGCAGAAGCCACATCGTGGTGCAGTGGGTTGAACCACTGTTTGGAATGCTCACATCTCGTGTATGAGTGCCTGGCTTGTGTCCTGGCTGCTCTGCTTCCTGTGGCTGTGATCCTAGCAGGCAGTGGGTGCTGACTCAAACGGCTGGATCTCTGCCACCCACATGAGAGATCCAGATGGAGTTATTGGCTTCTGGCTATAGCCTGGCCCAAGCTTTGGGTAGTGAAGCAGCAGATGGAGAATCAATTTCTGTCTCTCTGGCTTTGAAGTAAATAAATAAGTAAATTTTGTTCCTGAAAGTGTGTATGTCTCTCTGGAATATCAACTAAGGAACAGGCAATCTTGCATTACCTTGTGAAAGCTGTGTTATGAAATTGACTGTGAAATAGTATGAATTTATAAAAAGTGAAAGTGATCGTTCAAATTTAAAAAAAAAGTGATAGTTCAAAGACATGCCCTGGCTGAAGTAAGCTGTGCTCCAGGGAGGAAGTGGCTGGGTATGGCCCACTGTCCTCTGCCTTTAGGAATAGTTTTGTCATGAAGCCATTTGGGCAGCACTGTTACAGGTGATGGAAAACCATGGATTAAGTTCCAGTAAGGGCTCTAGACCAGGCCAGGATGAGATGAACAGTTTCGGAACAGTTTGGGGGTTACACTTGACCGAGCTGATGATTCCGAGCAGGAATAATAGTGATGATAGGCTACGGGGTTGGTGTTGTGGTGTTCTCACACAAAGCTGTGTGACCTGCAATCCCATATTTGTGCTAATTTGAGTCCCATCTGCCCCACTTCTGGTCTTACTTCCTGCTGCCGCTGACCTTGGGAGAGCGGGGGAGGTGAACAAGTACCCTGCCACCCACATGGTAGACACGGAAGAAGCTTCCGGCTCCTGGCTTCACCCCGGCCCAGCCACTGAGGCCACTTAGGGAGAAAACCAGCAAATACAAGCTCTCTCTCTCTATTTCTCCCTATCTCTCTGTCTGAACTCGGATGTTCAAATTTCCCTTATCTACTTGATGTATTGTTCCTTTTCTACTTCATCCTTTTCTTCAAGCAATGTAGATGGCACACCAATTTCCATGTTACTGTGACTTCGCACTGACTACTGGACCTGTCTGCACCCCGTTTTCCTTGTCTGCAGGTTGATGACAAGTCTACTCACCCCGGTGAAAATGAAAGGAGTTCATTAGTACAGGGTGTAGAAAAGTCAGCATGGTCTGCGCATTAGCTACCTCAGCAGCATTATGACTACAAGCTCTGTGCCTCTCACACAGCATCTCCCAGGGCTGGGGATTCCACAGGTCCCACTTTTCGATGCTGGAATGGATTTGGAAGGAAGATGGGCCAGGCTGTCCGTCGCACTTGTCCAGCCATCCACTGCCCCCAACAGCAAGTGCTCAGAATAGTAGCTGAATGAATAAACAATTGTTTTTTCAGCGAACTGCAAGGACTACACCTGCTGCTGGCGGTCATACTCCTAGAACCAAGCACCAGGTGAAGCAGTCAGCAGGTGCCCAGGGATTAGCAAACTAATGAGGACGCAAGGATGCATAAATAACTACAGGCAGGAAATCATGAAGGCTGCAAAGCAGGTGCAGATGGTGCTGCCCCAAGACCTTCTCTAGGGTTAGCACAGCAGACAGCTAGGGACTTTAGCCGCGCGAGGACTGCTGGGAAGTCGGGGCTCGCCCTCGGGCTCGGCGTTCCGCCCCGCCCCGCAGCTGGCTCACGTGACCGCGGCGGCCAACCGGGGCTGACAGGGAGAACCATGGCCGGCTTGGTGGACTTCCAGGATGAGGAGCAGGTGAAATCCTTTCTGGAGAACATGGAAGTGGAGTGCAACTACCAGTGCTACCGCGAGAAGGACCCGGACGGTGAGCGCCGCCGGCGCAGCCTGGGCACGCGTGGGGGTGTGTGGGGGACGAGGCTCGGGTGAGCGACCTCTGAGGAGAGCCGGGTCGGCGGCTGAGGAACACGTGGGGCGAAGCCGGGGGCGGGTGCCCGGGGGTCTGCGGGGCGCCCGGGGGGTCTGCGGGGCTCGCGACCCCCAGGGCGAGCGCGGGACGTGTGCAGGTGCGGGGTCCCAAGCAACAACTGAACTGGCTGCACCGCAGCACCCCACCTCGACAAGGCTACTTCTTGAAGGTGACCGGCTACAGCCGCAGGGGTATAAAGGTGTCTGAAAGACTCCCTGGCTCTTCTGGGAGAGTTGATCTGTGTCCAAACTGTAGAGAAAGTTACGGAATTGAGAATGTGGGGAGCAAGCAGGGTGGCAGATCAGGAGGGCTGGGCAAGCGCCGGTGAATGAAGGAGGCTGAGAGAACAGTTTGGACGTGGGCGGAGTTAGGTTTGGGGAGGGAGCCCGGGAGAGGTGTTTTCACTGCTGTCTGGAGGGCAGGGTTGTGGGGACTGTGAGGAGCGAGGCGTGAAGAAGGGTGCGCATACGGATATGAGAAGGAATGGGCGAGGGCCGCCGACCCTTCTTGGAGCATCAGTTGCAGTCCCTGCTACTCCAGCTTCCCGTTAACGTGCCTGGGAGGGCAGCTGAAGATGGCCCGCGTACTCCAGTGGCCTGCCATGTAGGTGGAGTTCCTGACCTGGCTATTAGAGCCATTTGGGAAAGGAACCAACATGTGCAAGAGCTCTCTGCCCCCTCTGTTTCGCTCTTCATGTGAAATAATTGTCTTGGAAAAAAAAAAATAGGACTGGCTGAGGTACTTCAGAGGGAGACCCCGGGTAGGTTGTGGTTACAAGGGCTACTGCATGAGTAGTGTCCGTGGAAGTCAGATCTGTCACATGAAATAGCCAAATCTGTCCGTTTGCACCTTTATCCGATTCTCTGCTTGCTTAAAGAGCTTTAGCTTTTATTATATTTATATTTTTTTATTAATTACATTGCATTATGTGACACAGTTTTATAGGTACTGGGATTTTCCTCCCTCCCCAAGCCCTCCCCCCATGGTGGATTCCTCCACCTGGCTGCATTGCCACAGTTCAAGTTCAGTTGAGATTCTTTCATTGCAAGCATATACCAAGCATAGCGTCCAGTATCTTATTATCCAGATAAGTTCAACAGCTTCTTGGGGAGACCATCTCTGGTCTGAAGGTAGAGCTGGCAGAGTATCATCCGGATCAATTAAAAACCCCAACATAACATCAGCAACAATGTCTAACTTTATGGAATTAGTGGACATAATATTGAGTAACCAATATGTTTTAAAAAAAATGCAAGTCTTGAACCACATCCTGTGACGTCTTCATTGACATTTCAATTTTAGTTTATATACAACAGGGTTCTATACACCTTAAAATGGCTATAGATTACTGTTCAGCTGTCTCGTGTCTATTTTTATTTTATTATTTAGCAGTTTATAGCGTTGAAGCATAATTTTTTGCTGAACCTGGCTTTTTTTTTTTTTTTTTTCGGGAAGTCTAGACTGGCTTATAACTCTAACAAGACATATGTCAACAGTTTAGGTGCAGAACAGTTTTAGGACGGGTGTGCAGAGAAATCTTCAATGCCCTAGTGAGGAGTGACTAATCTTTGTGTCCCACCTAGTAAGATATAAGTGAGTCCACTTAGCTTTTATTTTGTTAATAGTATTTATCATATTTTTAAGTGACATGTTTGTTGTTTTAATTGCCCAAGTGTATCTCCTCATACACTTACCTGCCTCTAGGACTTAACTCATCCAGGACTATGTAAATATATATGCCAGAGTCATCTTTTTACTTATCTTAAAGAAACATGTTCACTTTTACATTTTTATTTGAAAGAGGGAGAGAGAGAGAGGAGAGATCTTTCATTTGTTGATTTACTGTGCTGCTTTCCCAGGCTCATTAGCAGAAAGTTGGGTTGGAAGCAGAGTAGTCGGGACTTGAACTAACACTGAGTGATGGGAGAAGGCCAGCATTGCAGGCAGCCATCACACTCACCTGCAGGGCAGCCTTTTTAAATCATGGGTTGGGTTATCGCCTCACTTTTGACAACTCTCCAGTAGTTAGTTTGCTATTGTATTTGGAACAAAATCATAACTCGTTATGTTCCACAGGGCCCTGTGGTCTGATGCCTGCCTTCCTCTCTTTATTTCCTGTCCCACTCATTTCAGTCTCCTTGTACCATCATGTGTCACATAATGAGAGTTACATTCTGACAGACGCATCACTAGGTGACTTCATCTGTCTGTGAACACAGTAGTGTAGCAGGCACCTAATGAAAACTAGTGGCCAGACCAGCACAATATCTCACCTGACTAATCCTTGACCAGCAAGCACCAGCATCCCATGTGGACACTGGTTCATGTCCTGGCTGCTCCACTTCCCATCCAGCTCCCTGCTCATGGTCTGGGAAAGCAGTGGAAGATGGCTCAAGTCCTTAGGACCTTGCACCCACATGGGAGACTCAGAAGAAGCTCCAAGCTCCTGGTTTTGGATTGGCTCAGCTCTGGCTGTTGTAGCCACTTGGGGAGTGAACCAGCAGATGGAGGATCTTTTTTGCAGTCTCTCCTTCTTTCTGTATATCTGCATTTCCAATAAAAATAATTTTTTAAAGGAATCCCACCTGATGGAGGTCACTATTTCGTGGGCTCTTGATGCAGATGAGAGAGCAAGCAGGAAGTGTGTGAGGCTGCTGCTGTTGGAACTCAACATCACAGCCTGCTTTAAACCTTCTTTTCTGTAGAAGGGGACATTCTCAAACAGTGATAAGCATAGTAAAGTAAATGCAGAAGTCTTTAGCATCCTTGTGTCTTGTCTTTTTCGTGACCTTGACCTGTGTGTGCTGAACTGCTGTATGACTGGCAGCATGGCAGTTTTGTTCACACCAGCATCACCACAGAGTCGCCATGCACTGCACTACCACCTGGCGATAGCTGGTGTCAGCAGGAGACAGCAATTCTTCACTTTATTCGTTTATTTATGTATTTAACTAATTAATTTTTTAAAGTGTATTGCTTGAGCTCTTTAAAAAAAATTTTTTTAGAGATTTATTAATTTATTTTGGAAGGTCAGATACACAGAGACGAGAGAGAGAGAGATTCCATCCACTAACGCACTTGCCCCAACTGGCCACAACAGCCAGAGCTGAGCCGATCTGAAGCCAGGAGACAGGAACTTCTTCTGGGTCTCCCACGTGAGTGCATGATTCCAACACTTTGGACCATCCTCCACCGCTTTCTCAGGCCACAAGTAGAGAGCTGGATGGGAAGTGGAGCTGCTGGGATTAGAACCGGTGCCCATATGGGATCCCAGTGCATTCAAGAAAAGGACTTTAGCCACTAGGCTACCGCACTGGGCCCTATTTGTTTATTTTTTTAAGATTTATTTATTTATTACAGATACAAAGAAAGGGAGGTTTTCCATTAACTGGTTCACACCCAGATTGTTACAATGGCCAGTGCTGCAGCTCTTAAATAACCTTTAAAAAAAAAAAGGGAAAATGAGCAAGAGGTGATGTGTGACATCCTTGGGAGTGAAAAGGAAGGGGGAGGGAGCGATGTGAGGATGGAGGCCTGCTGGGACTGGGAAGCTCCCGGAGGGAACAGCCTGTCTCCAGCTTCTTTGGCCTTCTTGTCCCCAGCCTGGCTGAGGAGTCTGGAAGCGTCACGGCATCTTGCTTGCTGCTTTAAATTAACAGTCCTTTGGATTTTCTTTTTTTGTTGTGTTTTTAATTTTTTTACCAAGACTTAGTAATTTATTGTCTATACAGATTGATACAGAAAAGGGGGAGGCCAGATATTTTTTCTTTTATTATTTTATTATTAATTTCTTTTTATTATTATTATTTCCTGTGGTGCAGTTTTATAGCTATAGGGATTAGTACCTCCTCCTTCCCTCCTTCCCATTTGCACCTGTATTATCACAGTAGTATAGTCCTTTAGTAATAGTTACAAGTTTAACATTCTGCTGTTTAAGTGTATGATGATAATGTAGGTATCAGCAAAGTTAGCAAATCTAGTATCATATTGTCAAGGCATATAACTGTTTCATTGGGAGTCCTTTTTTTCAGAAGTAGAAATGTGTAGTGCAGCATATCCATATCTTTAATCTGCAACAGCTGGGGCAGGGCCAGGCAAAGTTAAGAGCCAGGAATTCCTTCCAGGTCTCCCATGTACCTGGACCATCTATTGCCACTTCAATGCATTCACAGGAAACTGAACTAGAAGTAAGAGTAGCCAGGACTCCAACCTGTGCTCTGGTATGGAATGTGTATGTCCTAAGTGGCAGCTTAGTTTACTGTGCCACAACGTCCACTCCGGGTTTCCCTTGTCTTTACTGCAGGACTTCATCAAAGTTTCCAAAGCTGAGAAAATTAGTCATGCAAGTTAGTAGGTCTTTGGGCCTGCCTGGCGGTGAGCAGAAAGGCTGACGGGTGGGTCCACAATCTCCCAGGCCATATAGTACTTCATCCCTGTTGGGGGGCCAGAGGGATGGGGAGACAGTGCCATTTGTCAGTGCTGTCACTTCCCTTCTTTGTGATTAGGTCAGTTTGCCCCAATCTCTCCTTGAAGAGAAGGGACTGGTCTGTTTTTGTTTGTTTAAAAATTCATGTATTTGGGCCCGGCGCGGTGGCGCAGTGGTTAAGGTCCTCACCTTGCACACCCAGGATCCCATATGGGTGCTGGTTCTAGTCCCGGCGGCCCCGCTTCCCATCCAGCTGCCCACTTGTGGCCTGGGAAAGCAGTCAAGGACGGCCCAAAGCTTTGGGAACCTGCACCCGCGTGGGAGACCCGGAAGAGGCTCCTGGCTTTGGATCGGCATAGCATCGACCGTTGTGCTCACTTGGGGAGTGAATCATCGGACGGAAGATCTTCCTCTCTGTCTCTCCTCTCTGTATATCCGCCTTTCCAATAAAAATAAAAATAAATCTTTAAAAAAAAATTCATGTATTTATTTCAAAGGCAGAAGTACCGAGAGAAAGAGGGCGAGGTAAATATAGACATCTTCTATCTGCTGGTTCACTCTCCAAATGGACTCAGTGGCCTGTAGCTAGGCTGGTCTGAAGCCAGGAGCCTGGAACTTCTTCCAGGTCTCCCAAATGGGTTCGGGGATTCAAGCACATGGGCTATCTTCCACACAACCTTTCCAGGCACATCAGCAGGGAGTAGAGCAGTCAGTATTGAACCAGTGCTCAGAAGGGATGCCGGCACTACAAGTGGCTGCCTTATCTACTGTACCCACAGCCAGGACTGGCCTTTCAGACCCAGGAGCCTCTTTAGGTCCTCCTGTTCAGCCCGACCCCAGCCCCGGCTCTCTCACACACTGGCTAGTGCGTGAGCCTGGCAGGGCTGGTCAGCTGCCCCTGGCACTGATTGCTCTGATCCTCTCCTTGCAGGCTGCTACCGGCTGGTGGACTATTTGGAAGGGATCCGGAAGGACTTCCATGAGGCTGCCAAGGTATTGAAGTTCAACTGTGAAGAATACAAGCACAGCGACAGCTGTTATAAACTGGGGTCCTATTATGTGACTGGAAAAGGTAAGGAGGGGCCCGGGTTTGTTTTGTTTTGTTTGTTTTTTAATGGTTTTTGTCGATCTGGGCTGTCATCCCACCCAGGCTTCCTGCTCAGTCCTCACAGGCTATTGAGGAAATGCATTTCAGGAGGACTTGAAGATGAGGGTGAGTCAAGCAGGAAAGGCACAGGCTTTTCAGTTCAGCAAATTTCAGGAATATTATGTGCAGATAGTGGGACCTTGAGCCAGGGATTTTAACTGTTTTCTCAGTTCTGTCACCTGCAAAGAGGAACACGTAGTCCACACTTTGTAGGCTAGTTATGAGGCTGATGCTGTGGGAGTTGGCAGCAGCACATGCCTCGATACTTAATCCCCTTCCTTCTGTCTTTTCTCCTCGTTACCACTGAGCAGGGTTAAGATGGCAGTTGCTAAATCAGCAGGTTGGGAGCTGAGGAGTGGCTTAGCTGGATGAGGTCAGGCAAGCTGTGGCCTTCCCAAGGCTTCCTGGGCGTTTCCAGGCCCAAGTTGACTCACTCACTTGGCTGTGGGGCAAAGGCCTCAGCTGCTTGCCTGCTGCTAGCAGCAGACCTCTGATCCTTAGTATTGTTCTTTTTTCTTAGAGGTTTACTTGTTTACTTTAGTTGAAAGGTGGAGTGGCAAAGACTTTGAGAGGGAGATCATTCAATTGTAGTTTCAATCCCTAACTGGCCACAATGCCAGGGCTTGGCCAGGTCAAAGCCAGGTCAAAGCCAGGAGCATAGAATTTCATCCTAGTCTCTTTAATGGGGGATGAGGTGGGGTGGCAAGAGCCCAAGACCCCTGCTTTCCCAGGTAGATTAGCAAGGAGCTGGATAGGAAGCAGCTAGAGAACTCAAATTGGCATTATTGCAAAGTCAGATTTACAGAGAGAAGAAGAGACAGAGAGAAAGATCTTCTGTCTGCTGATTCACTCCCCAAGTGGCCGCAAAGGCTGGAGCTGAGCTGATCCAAAGCAGGAGCCAGGAGCATCTTCCGGGTCTGCCACACAGGTGCAGGGTCCCAAGGCTTTGGACCTTTGGACCCCTACTTCTTTCCCAGGCCACAGACAGGGAGCTGGAAGGGAAGTGGAGCAGGCAGGATATTAGTTGGCACCCATATGGGATCCCAGTGCATGCAAGGTGAGGACTTTAGCCACTAGGCTACTGTGCCAGGCCTAATTTTTAAGATTATTTACTTTTATGAAAAGGCAGATTTACAGAGACAGGTAGAGAGCTAAACAGCTAGAGCTGAGCTGATCTGAAGCCAGAAATGAGGAGCTTCTTCTGGATCTCCCATGTAGGTGCAGGGTCCCAAGGCTTTGAACCATCCTCGACTGCTTCCCCAGGTCACAGACAGGGAGCTGGATAGGATGTGGAACATCGAGGACATGAATCAGCACCCATATGGGATCCCAATACTTACAAAGCAAGGATTTAAGGATTTAACCCTTGAGCCATTTTGCCGGGCCCTATTTTTTTTTTTTTTCTTAAAGGTAGAATTACAGAGAGAAGGAGAGATACACAGAGAGCAAGAGAGTCTTCCATGCACTAGTTCACTCCTCACATGGCCACAATTGGAGCTGAGCTGATCAAGAACCAGGAGCCTCTTCCAGGTCTTCCACGTGGGCGTGGGGCATGAAGGACTCGATCCATCCTCTCTGCTGCCTTCCCAGGCCATAAACAGTAAGCTGGATCCAAAAAGGAACAGCCAGGACTTGAGCTGGTGCCCATTTGGGATGCCAGTGTCACAGGCAGAGCCTCTACTCCACGTTACTGTGACTTTTAGAGTGAACCAAATGGATGGAAGAGATGTTTCTACCCTTATCATTCTGCCTTTCAGATAATTAAATCTCTAGTTTAATTACCACACACTGAAGTGCCCGGGTTTGATTCCCAGCTCAGGCTCCTGATTTAGCTTCTCACAGAGCAGACTTTGGGAGACAGCGGGCAGTGGCTCAAGTACTTGAGTCCTTGCCACCCACATCGAGAACTGGCTGGAGTGTCTGACTTTGGAATGGAGCCTCTCTCTCTCTCTCTTCCTCCCTCCCCCCTCCCCCCTCCCCACTTACATTCTCTCTCCTTCAAATTAGGAATGGAGAAGCCTTTATGAAAGGAAAGTGACGAGCAGTATCCATTTAGATTGAATATTGGACTAATTGAGGTTACCAAATAAATAGAATGTCATTGGAGAAACCATTGGAGTGGTTGTCGAGCGTGATGCTTGAACTCCTGCTTGGGACACCTATATCCCATGTTGGGGTACTTGGGTTGAATTGGAGCTGCAGCTTGTTCTAGCTTTCTGCTTCTGCTGACCTGGGAGGCAGCAGGTGCTGGCTCAGGTGCTTGAGTTCCTGCCACCCAAGTGGGAGACCTGGGTTGGACGTCTGGCTCCTGTGTTCAGTCTGGCACAGCACTAGCTGTTGCAGACTTAGGGAGAGTAAATCAGCGAATGGGAAGTATCTCTCTCAAATAAGTAAAAATTCAGAAAACAAATAAACCTTTATGATGTAAAAACATAACTGTAACATTTACAATGATTATTGTGCGCCAGGCTCTTTGTAAGAATATGTTAAAGAGAGGCTGGGGGAATACAGAGAGATTCCATGTTCTGGTACACTCCCCAAATGGCTGCAATGACCATAGCTGAACCAATCTGAAGCTAGGAGCTCCACAGGGGTGCAGGCTCTAAGGCCTTGGGTCATCTTTACTGTTCTCCCAGGCTACCAACCTTGAGCTAGATCAGAAGCAGAACAGCCAGGACACAAATCTGTCCCCTTACGGATTGCCAACATTGCAGGCAGAAGATAAGTGTGCTGCACTACTCCACCAGCCTCTATTGCCCTTATTTTACAGATAAAGGGAAAAGAGGTTCACAGTGGTTAAGTAACTTTGCCAATGTCACACAGCCAGTAAGTCCTGGAACTCATGGTTTTTGGCCACACATCTTTAACCACTGTGCTGTGCTGTCTCCATGGGTGTATGGGGAGGCTGTCCCCATGTGGCTGGGGGAGGCTCCGTAAGGTGTGGCTGTCCTGGCTTCTATGGTTGTCACTTTGTGTCTAAGACAGTATTCTGTCTAACATGTAGTTAAAACAGAGAGACTGTGATTCTAACCTTTCAGTACTTGTCTGACCCCCTCCAAAGACACCTTTGGGAAATTTCTCTTTGGTGAAGAAATACCAATTTGTGGATCAACAATTTCCTTTATTTCACGTTGCTTTTCATTTTCTTCAGATAGATTCAAGTAGAGTCTGGTTGAACTTTTGTATTTACAAATAACATACATGACCCAGTTTTTAAAAATATTCTTAGGGGCCAGTGAGACTAATCCTCCACCCGCCAGTGCCGTCATCCCATAGGGAGGCTGGTTCATGTTCCAGCTGCTTCACTTGTCTTCCAGCTCGCCACTTATGGCCTAGGAAAGAACAGAGACTGACCCAAGACTTGGGTCCCTACACCCATGTAGGAGAGCTGAAGACTCCTGACCACCCACATGCAAGTCTGGGGCGGAGTTCCTGGCTCATGGCTCAGCCTGGCTCAGGCCTGGCTGCTGCAGTCATTTGGGTAATGAACCAGCAATGGAGGATTTCTGTTTCTCTTTCTTTCTCTCTCTGCCTTTCAGACAAATAAATCTTTAAATCATCTCTGGATTTCTTAGGCTACCTAACACTCTGTGCATACTGACGTTGTTATGCTATGCTGTTCAGGCGAGTAATGACAAGGGGAAATGAAGTCTGAATGTGTTCAGAAGAGGCGCAGTTTCTCTCTGAGGATTTATAGTCTGCAGTTGGTTGAATTCATGGCCGTGGAACCCAGAGAACCAGCAGTGTTGAAATGAGCGCTTTTAGGATGCTATATTAATGCTGTAAAGCCACAAAGTAGACCTTGTGGTTCCCACTTTTCACCTCCTTTAGCTATTGTGGACTTTTCTCATTAAGAGATCATTTGAACCAAAGACCACACAACAGGCAAAGCTGGATGGTGTGGGTCTGTGGACTGTACCAGGCTCCTTCCCTGCTGCCTTAGCCCGTGGTTACGGACCTTCTGCAGGAATTGGCCCCTGACTTTGGCTCCAGATGCTAGGGTCTTCACTGGCTGGGGTTGACTCTTCCTTTGTTTTCCTTTCCCTGAGGTGGACTGAGCCAGGACCTGAAGGCGGCTTCCAGCTGCTTTCTGATGGCCTGCGAGAAGCCTGGAAAGAAGTCCGTGGAAGCATGTCACAACGTTGGTCTCCTCGCACACGACGGACAGGTTAACGAGGATGGCCAGCCCGACCTGGGCAAGGCCAGGGACTACTATACAAGGGCCTGTGACGGTGGCTATGCCTCCAGCTGCTTCAACCTCAGTGCCATGTTTTTGCAGGGCGCGCCCAACTTCCCCAAGGACATGGGCCTGGCATGCCAATACTCACTGAAAGCCTGTGAGCTAGGCCACATCTGGGCCTGTGCCAATGCCAGCCGCATGTACAAGCTGGGGGATGGTGTCGATAAGGACGAGGCCAAGGCTGAGCTACTCAAAAACCGGGCCCGGCAGCTACACAAGGAACAGCAGAAAAGTGTGCAGCCCCTAACATTAGGGTGACGTGGCTCACTCCCACTCTGGGAAAACAAAGAGACTGAGGCTGGCACTTCCTCTTTCCGAGACCTGTCACAGCAGCCCTTGAAGGTCACAGAATGAAGCAGGAAGAACTTGGGACTTGGTATCAGTAGCTCTGTTTACATAGATCCATTGCCCCAACAGCCTGCAAAGTTTATTTCAATCACTATTGCTTTAACTATGAAGACCCACCTGAGTTTATGGGATCTTTAATTTTATTTTCTGGCAGCTCTGAAAAATAGGAGCCTCCCAAAAAGAGCCATAAAGGTTGGGGGAGGGAAACAGTGCCTGGCCCTTGGGAAAATTAGCAGCCACAGGGCCCCCAAAGCAGCCCCAGCTCAGCATCTTGATTTGCTTAGTAGAGGTTCAATAGACCTGACTGACAGCCTGTGACTTAACCCTTCCTGTGGACTTGCTTTTGTCGCTAGAGATGAGGAGACCGAGGCCACATCCAGCTTGCAGGTTGTACCCCCATGGGTTGCTGGTGAAGAGGACACCCAGTGAGGCAGCACCACCTCCCCAACCTGGCCCTCCTGGCTCAGCATCCGGAGGAAGCAGACTCCATCTCTCTCCAGGCAGCTGGAGCTGGGATTTGTTTTAATTTGGTTTTGCTTTTTAAAGATTCGCTTCTTAATTTTATTATTTGAAAGGCAGATTTTACAGAGAAGGAGAGAAAGATCTTCCATCCACTGGTTCACTCACCAAGTGGCCGTAGCAGCCGGAGCTGAACCAGGAGCCAGGAGCTTCTTTCCCCATGCAAGTATAGGGTCCATCCTCCACTGCTTTCCCAGGCTACATGTAGCTGGGATTTGTAAGCAAGAACTTGATGACACATATCTTTAGATTGATTTTCAAGCCCTCCCAACTAAAATAATTGCCTCTAAGAATAAGCATATTTGACTGATTCATAATTTGTATCATTACCATTTTTCTACAGGCAGGATAGAGAATTTTCTTGTTGGTAACAGCACTTTTTCTGTTAAGAAAATTTGCTTTGGACCTAGTGTAATGGCCCCATGGCTAAATCCTCACCTTGCAAGCACCAAGATGCCATATGGGTGCTGGTTCATGCCCCAGCTGCTGCACTTCCCTTCTAGCTCCCTGTTTATAACCTAGGAAAGCAGTAGAAAACGGCCCACTGCCCTGGGATCCTGCACCCATGTAGGAGCCCCACAAAGAAACTCCTGGTTCCTGCCTTCGGATGGGCTCAGTTCCAGCTGTTGCCATTTGAGGAGTGAATCAGTGGATAGGAAATCTTTCTGTCTCTCCTCTCTGTAAATCTAATCTGCCTTTCCAAAAAAAAAATTTTTTTTAATTTTTCTGTTATGTCCCTGGCCCGTCAGCAGGGGGCGAGCATGCCATTTTCCTGCAGGTAGCAGGACCATTCTGTCACCTCCTGCTTTCAGCTTTGGGTTTGCTGCTATCCTCCCAAGTTTTGCTGGGTGAGGGTTTTTAAGGAGACTTTCCTGATTGCGAAGAAGAGGTAATAAAAGAAATCAAGCTTATTTTTTTTTTAATGTGAAGTAGCTTTTGGTTTTGCTTACACTGTAGGCCAACAAACGTTGAAAGGTGCTCACCATCAGTAATCATTTGAAGAAGCAAGTCAAAACCACAAAAAACCTCTTAAAATACAAGGTAACTTTGCCGACAGGGCAGGTAGCCGTGGTGCCACAAGTTAAGCTGGGTATTTCTAGGGGAGTGCTGGTTCAAGTTGCAGCTACTCTACTTCCAATCTAGCTTCCTGCTGATGTGCCTGGGCTGCATCATGGTGGCTCAGCTATTTGAATCCCTGCTACCCAAGTTTGACACTTGATGGGAGCACTAGGCTAATGGTTTTGGCCTGGCCCAACCCCAGCCATTGCAGTCAATTGAAGAGTGAACGGGCAGGTGCAAAATCTGTCTCTCCCTCTGTCTTTCACATTCTGCCTTTCAAATTAGAGAAAAAATTTTTTTTGATAGTGCCAGAAGTGAGCATTCAGCTTGTCAGCTAAAGCACCAGTCAGGACATTCACACCGCATGTACTGCCTGAATGTGATACGCATCAAGCTCATGATTCCAGCTTCCTGCTAATGCAGGTCCTGAGGCACCAGTGATAGTTCAAGCAGTTGGGTTTCTGCCACCCACCCACAGAGGAGACCTGGATTCTTGCCTGCAGCCCAGGCCTCACTGTTGAGGGCATTCATTTTATTTTAATTTTGTTCGAGGCATTTAGAAATTAGTCGGGCTTCAGAGCTCTCACTGTCTCACAGAAAAAAAGTTTTTTTTTTAATGGGCTAAAAAGCCCTTACTGGATACCTCACAGAGAGGGTCCACAGGTGGCAACAAGCACATGAGCAGAAGGCCTGTCGACATGTCAGGGGAAGTACACGCTAAAACGAGACTACTGTGTGCCAGCCAGCCATTGCAAAGCTGACAGCCAGACCGCTGAGGGCAAATACTGGCTGGATTGGAGCAACATGAACTCTCCATGTCACTAGCAGGGATGCAAGAGACTTCAGCTGCTTTGGGAGGCAGCACAGTGGGCCCTAAACATACTCTGACCATTTGGTTTAGAAGCTGAATGCATGAATAGATGGTATATCCAGACGATGGGATATGAGTCAATGTTATGAATAGATACACTCCCAGGTCATGAAAAGATGTGTAAGCATGGTAGATCAGTGTGTAATGGATCAATAAATAAATACTAGTATTAAGTGAACAGAGCCAATCTGGGAAGTATGGCTATAACTACATGACAGTGTTATCTTCTGGAAAAGGTTAAGCCATGGAGGCCATGGAAAGTTGGGAGGCAGGGATGATTCATTAGCACACAGTGTTTTGAGGCAGTAAAACTGGTATTTTACTGTGAATACACTTCTCCAAATCCCAAAAGTGTGTGGCGCTAAGAGTGAAACCTAATATAAGCTGAGTTTGGGGTGATAATGTGTCTGAAGGTTTACAAATCACAGCAAAGACTCCACTGTGGCAGGGGGTGTGGGTAGTCGGGGACTGTGTGTGAAGGCAGGACAACTGGGGGCTCAGTTTTGCTGAACCTGAAACAGCTCTGTTATAACAAGTAGCATGTGGGGCTGGCATTGTGGCACAGAGGGCTAAGCTACTATTCCACTTCTGAGCCAGCTTCCTGCTGCTATACCTGGTAAAGCAGTAGAAAGTAGATCAAGTACTTGGGCCCCTGCTATGCATGTGGGACACCCAGGTGGAGTCCTAAGCTGATTTCATCCTGGTCAGGCCCTGGCCTTTGTGACAATTTTGGGAGAGAACCAGTGGATGGAAGATCTTGTATCTTCCTGTTTTTTGCTCTTTCAAAATCTTAAAAAAAAAAAAAACTTTAAACAATCTATTCAGATAGAACCATAGTGAGATACGGTCTCACTCCCAGTGGGATGGCTGCTTTTAAAACAAGAAGGTTTTGGGCCCGGCGGCGTGGCCTAGTGGCTAAAGTTCTCACCTTGAATGCGCCAGGATCCTATATGGGCGCCGATTCTAATCTCGGCAGCTCCACTTCCCATCCAGCTCCCTACTTGTGGCCTGGGAAAGCAGTCGAGGACGGCCCAAAGCTTTGGGACCCTGTACCGTGTGGGATACCTGGAAGAAGTTCCTGGCTCCTGGCTTCGGATCAGTATAGCATCGGCTGTGCAACGCTCACTTGGGGAGTTAAACATCGAATGGAAGATCTTCCTCTCTGTCTCTCCTCCTCTCTGTGTATGTCTGACTTTTCAATAAATAAATAAATCTTTAAAAAAAAAAAGAATATGGGCCCGGCGCGGTGGCGCAAGTGGTTAAAGGTCCTCGCCTTGCACGCCCGGGATCCCATATGGGCGCCGGTTCTAATCCCGGCAGCCCCGCTTCCCTTCCAGCTCCCTACCTGTGGCCTGGGAAAGCAGTCGAGGACAGCCCAAAGCTTTGGGAACCTGCACCCGCGTGGGAGACCCGGAGGAGGCTCCTGGCTTCGGATCGGCATAGTATCGGCCCGTTGCGCTCACTTGGGGAGTGAATCATCGGACGGAAGACCTTCCTCTCTGTCTCTCCTCTGTATATCCGCCTTTCCAATGAAAATAAAATCTTTAAAAAAAAAAAAAGAATATGGAGAAACCGAAACCCTTGTGCACACTGTTGGTGGGGAATTAAAATCATGAAGCTGTTATTAGAAACAGCATGTCAGTTCCTCAAAAACTCAAAAATAGATTTTTCATATTATCCAGCAATTTCATACCCCAAACAAACAAAAGCAGTCTCCGAAAGGTATTTGTGTATGCATGGTCTTGGCAGCATTATGCACTATAACCAGAAGGTGGAGCAGCCAAGTGTCCATCAACAGGTGAGTGGATAAACATGACGTGGCTAGGGCCCGGAGCGGTGGCGCAAGTGGTTAAAGGTCCTCGCCTTGCACGCCCGGGATCCCATATGGGCGCTGGTTCTAATCCTGGCAGCCCCGCTTCCCTTCCAGCTCCCTGCTTGTGGCCTGGGAAAGCAGTCGAGGACGGCCCAAAGCTTTGGGACCCTGCACCCGCGTGGGAGACCCTGAAGAGGCTCCTGGCTTCGGATCGGCATAGCATCGGCCCGTTGCGCTCACTTGGGGGGTGAATCATCGGACGGAGGATCTTCCTCTCTGTCTCTCCTCTCTGTATATCCGCCTTTCCAATGAAAAAATAATAAAAATAAATCTTTGAAAAAAAAAAAAAAAAAAAAAACAAAAAAAAAACATGACGTGGCTTACGCCCACCATGAAATACTGATCAGGCTTGAAAAGGAAGGAAATGCTGACATCTGCTGCCATGTGACAGGCTTGGAAGACACACCGAGTGAAAGAAGCCAGTCATAAACGTGTACTATATATGCTCAATCTGGCGTCATTCGGGAGTTACATCTGAACTTAGAAAGGAGGCTGGTGGTTATCAGGGTGGGAAACAAGGAGAGAAGGGGAAATTGTTCAGTGGGTATCAGAGTTGTAAGAAAACTGAAGGTTGACTATTGAACAATGTGAATATACTTAACACTACTGAATTGTACATGTGAAAATGGTTGAGGTGGTTTTATAGTAGGTGTACTTACTGTATTTGTAAAAGCTTATACATTTGCTTCATTTAAAAATAAAAGGTTGGGGACTGGTGCAGTGGCATCGTCAGGCTAAGCCTCTGTGGCGCTCACATACCATATGAACACCAGTTCACATCCCAGCTGCTCCACTTCTAATTTGTCTTTCTGCTTGTAACCTGGGAAAGCTGCAAAGGATGGCCCAAAGTCTTGGAGTTCTGGCTTTGAATGAGCTCAACTTGGACCATTGCAACCATCTGAAGAATAAACTAGCAGATAGAAAAATCTTTTTGGGCCCACTATGATAACTCAGTGGCTAAATCTTCTCCTTGCAACCACTGCAATCCCTTATGGGCACTGATTTGTGTCCTGGCTGCTCCACTTCCTATCCAGCTCGCTGCTTGTAGCCTGGAAGAGCAGAGAAGGATGGTTCAGAGCGTTGGGACCCTGCACCCATGTGAGAGATCCAGAAGAAGCTTCTGGCTTTGGATCGGCTCAGCTCTGGCCATTGAGGCCACTTGGGAAGTGACTCAACTGTAAATCTCCCTCTGTAAATCTGCCTTT